GAATATAGTCCCTAGTGTGAACAGTGTATAACTTGCATTTTTTTTATACACTTTTCCAATTTAATTCTTGATATTTTATGCATGAAATATTAAGTAAGGGGATGAAATTACATGTTAAAAAAATTTGGGTACTGAATCTTTATGTTAAGTGGTGATTTGGTCCAGTTAAAAAAGGTCTAAAATTAGAATGTCTGAAGCTGTCAAACTGAATTTTAGCCCCCCTTAACACAAAATTGTCAATATTTTGAGTTAGAGCTGGTAGACGTTTCTATGATTTTGATATTATTTGTATCAATAGTAGTACACTACACTGTAAAAATCTTTTTGAGATAGAGCAGGTGCGATTTTTTTAATTTGAATTTATTGTCTTAAAGTAATGCACTACGAAATAACTGTGTTCTCGGGCCAGTATGTCAGAGTGATCTACATGTCTATACATGTATGCTTACTATATGAATAAAGAAATGGAGCATTCATTAACAACAACCAATCCTCTTGCCTGAAACTGTCCTTCACCAAAAACATAGTCAAAATTATTCATGCAGTAAATATAGGTCAATGTGACCTATTTCAGATAGATATGTTGATATTTACCGACGATGTATCCACAGACCAAATTGTATTGCTCTAGGACTTGTTTTTGCTGAGGTATTGACCTTAACCAAAGTAATTTATTCGTAAAATATAGGTCAAGCTGAACTTTTCTGGTACAGATCGTGGGAACTACCTCAGATGTATACACAGACCAAATATAGCCCCTCTTTGACTTGTTGTAAGTTTAGTCCAGCTTATTCGTGCATATTTTTAGAAGAATTGTGGGTTTGATGATAAAAGCATGAAAATTTGCACAATTGTAGATCTATGTATGGTAGTCAATATAAGCTATGGATCTACTCTGAAAAATCCAATATGGCGGCCATTTTCAAGATGGCTGTCAATCAGTCACAATTTTACCACCATGTATAATTTAAAGCAATTAATATTCAATTCAAATCTTTTAAGATCATATAAAATGTAAATTTACGTTTCTAGTAAGTCATGGCGGTATATTAGACCATCTGAGTCACAAATAAAAAAGATAATTTATTTGTCCCACTTCTCCTTGCCACCCTCCTTTCTTTTTCCTCGACTGTAGATCAAGATGATCAATAAATACGACTCATTACCGATTTTCTACTTGCAATGAGTAGCATCACTCGTGCTAACAGTTGGCAATAAACTACACACCCTTGTAGAATACCTGCGTTGACCCTAGTTTTGACGAAAAAGGACTCGTGTTGTTTATACTGTCAATTTTGTGTTATTCGTTATTCATTTTTCAATGTCTGTGTTGTCCACCAGTGAAAGTCGTGTTTATCCATCTTACAGACATGGAAAACCTTATTTCATTTCAAACATTCATATTTGGTTAAATTTTAGATACTTTACATATACCAACATGTTTTGAATTTGGTGATACTGGATATAACTCAACAAGCTATTTAAACAAAAGCACATAGGTAGCTTGCCTTTCTCAAGCACTTGAGATCTTCTCCTATTTTATAAGGGGTTGGTGTTGCTCAATTTTTTAATTTTTGTGAAGAGATGTCTTGACTGATGTTAATCTTTTGCGGTTTTTTTTATCCATCCTATTGTCTGGCTTTGTTTTTCTAATGTTTTTTGAGTGCCTAAATGTCTTGTTCATCTTTTTTATCATCTTAACAACAAAATATTTTCACAGCAGTTTTCATAAAAATAAAATGTTTTATTAAGAATAGCCCATGTAGTCTTTGCACAACTCCTCACCACATTCTAAACAGCACTGTGCATAACATCATTGTCCTCGCATTTGTATCAACCGTTTTAATATCTTTCAACCACATTTTCTTAGCTCATTCCACAATGCTGGTACCTTTGTGATAAATGTACAGTATGGTTTATGCCATCCGTATTCACTCGAAGTAGCACTCCGGATAGAAGGCCGAAACATTCCCAAACCTAAAGCTTTCATATGGTTAAAAGGTTGATTGAAACTTGTTAATTACTATAGCCATTTCTGGACAAGAATCCATATTTATGTGCTATATTTGTGCCATATTTACGGTCAATCCGATTGGCAAACCTTTTCTTTTTACAATGTGCAATTCTACTCATGGTTTGATCTACATTTATCATTTTCAAATTAAGTTTGCAACACGTGAACTGACTGTATAGTTTAATCGCATAATATCGCACACGGGTACTAGGAGGCAACGTTAGGATGGAAAAATGCTAACAACCACTGAATAAGCAGTATAATGACACCTATATACACCCAGAATGAACATTCTCTTAATGATCTCACACCAAAATGTTCAGTTCAATCTTTAATGTTAATGATAGATGTTGATTTTGATATTTTATGGCGGCCATCTTTGAAAAAGCCGCCTAATTGAAATTTCAAGGTGGGTCCATAGTTTATATTTTTTGAAACACCCCGTCCTACTATCATACCAAATTTGGCAGTGATTTTGACCTTATACAGGTGATAAATGTTGATTTTGATATTTTATGGCGGCCATCTTGAAAAAAGCCGCCATATTTAATTTTCAAGGTGGGTCCATAGCAAATATTGTTTGAAACACCTAGAACTACTACCATGCCAAATTTGGTGCTTTTATCATCAAACCCACAATTTTTTCACCGATCTGCCGGACTAGTTGTTGAGATATGAATCTTAACCATTATGTACGTAAATACAAATGTAGGAACGAAACAAACACTATGGCTTGTGGCCTCCAGGATAACCGAGAAAACATGTAACTGTTTGTTTGACAATTTGTTGAGATCATTTGATGTTCACATTAACTTTTAACCCACTCACATCAAACTCGTTGTGGTGTGATACATTTATTATTTCTCTCAAATGGTAAAAAATGTCGGAACTGTCAATGGTAAGATTAAAACTATGTTTTTCAGCTGCCTCTTTTGTCTGTGAATATATAAAACATATTATCATTATAATAAGATCCAGATCACAAGCCTCCACAACAGCACCACCTCCTTCGAATTCTTTTAAATGTAAATTGAACAGAAATCACATTTTTTGTACTCAGGGCAAATATTAAAGGAAACGTTGATTTTTATTTCATAAGTTTTTTTCTGAATATGGTATTAATTCATATTCCGGATTTTATAAAACTGAAACAGTCAGTGAAATTAATTAATCTACTGTTCTATAATTAATAATTTGTGTTTACCGAAATATGACCATGAGAAATTGTCGAAAAAAAATTCACGAAAATATTTCAAACAAGTTCTTTTAGTGTCTAATGACCACCCAAAACAAGTTATTAAGAAGATGGAAGTCATCTCTGTGGGCCCTGCTGAAAATAACGGACACGATCTTTACCATAGGACATGGGGTTCTCAATTGTCGCCTAAATGTTTACTTTGACCTTTGACCTACAAAGTTGTACATTATGACACACCATCTCGTATTGGTTAAAGTATATATCAAGTATAAACTTTGAAATCATAACGGTTCTCAAGATATGGAGCGGACACGATTTATTAAGGACAGACATCCTTATAACTATAGGATCACCCGCCATAATCGGCGGGGCCTTAATTACGAAAAACAGTAGCTACATGTTCTCTACAAGACTATATTTCGGTTATCAAGCATTCAGCAGTAAATATTTCAATAATTGACATATTTCTGACTATTGGTATTTTGTTTACCTCACTATCATGACTATCTGTGGTACTGTCTAACATGTCTAAACTGGTCTGATATACAGTTATTTCTGGTACAACCTCCTTAAAAAGGTCAATACATTTTCTGCATATCCCAGCAAAACAAACTGTAATTATATAATAGTTATTTCATAAATTCAAATTGTTCAAAGCAAACTCGAGTTATTGTACGATTTCTATAGGAAAGAGTATAGACCAGTCATAGTGATAACTATAAGTCACTGCCATTCATTTAAGTGTTATTTTTCAGTATATAAATACAAAATAATGTTTTCTGTAATTTTATAATTCTTGTGGCTGAGTAGTTTGTCTCTATCAGAATCGGAAATTACGACAAAACGATCATTTGAGTTGTCTGTAGCAGAAGTGCCTTCCAGTTCAGCCATGTTCCACATTGTTCCAAACGTCTGAATCGCGATTGCGTTTTATTAAAGGGACATCACCCTAAACAGATAAACCACGACCCACTGGTCATTAACATGTAAAAGTCCGTTTACGACCGGTTTTCTGGTCCGTTTTTTTTCTGTTGAAGACCGATGGAATTCTTTACTAAAGAATAAAGAATGTCATGTGGCCCCCTATATCCAATAAGAGAAGCTTATTCTTAACCGATATGAAATAATTGTGAATAAAATATATATGTAAATCAAGAAGCAATAATAAGGTCGTATGTAAAGTTCACTCAAAAAATTAAATGGAGAATATGTCCATGCGATACAGATGATGCCCCCGCCTGCAAATAACCTTATAACGGGACAAAGGTCAAAAACGGTAAAAGTGACGCTACCCAAATTCGAACTTAACCTACGTTCTGTAGTAATAAGTATTGTGTATAAGTTTCATAACATTTGGTTGAGGCAACCTTAAATTAGATTACGGAAACGAAAAATTCTACAAATTTTCCATTTGTAATGGGTCATTATTCTAAAACGGTAAATTGACGCCACCTAAATTCGAACTGTATCTGAGTGTTGTGATAACAAGCTTTGTGTTTACGTTTCATAATATTTGGTTAAAGCCAGTTAAAGTTAGAGCACAGAAACTAATTGTTGTTAACTTCTATGTCATTTGGTCTCTGGTGGAAAGTTGTCCCATTAGAGAAAAATGGCATAAAACAATAAAGAAATGAAGGATCCCTATCAAAACCCTTATAAGTCTGAAAACTTTGCCGAAGTTTGTTTAATCATAATTTAACGGAATATACTATAATGTTTTAATCAGTGAATGATTTTGAATATTGGTGGTTTTAATGGATTTTATTTTATATGCACACTGTAGATACATTGGAAGTTGCTAGGAACAAACAAACCAAGCAGTCAAGTAATTCGGACCCATTTTACAGACTTTCTAAAAAAGTGGTGGATGGAGATTACACACAGTGGATGACATTGTCAGTAGAATTTTGCTCAGAAACAAATGTTGGGAATGAACCTTCGTGGTGGGCAGTAGATCTTGGTGCAATTTATGAAATCAGCAACGTAGTTATCTTTGGCAGAAGTGACTGTTGTGGTATGTTTTACATATCTACGGATGCAGTTAGACAAACCTGCCGTTACATACAGAATAAGTAGGATTTCGCAAACAAATTAAAATTTGGATATAGAGATTCGAAAAAAAATATCGCAATTATAGTTGATTGATATATTGAATGATTGATTGTTAAAAGATCAATCATGGTCTCCAATCTTGACAAAATGATCACCTCTTCAAGTCTATAACCGTTAAAGCATCGAAAATATGTATAACTAGAGAGAAAAGAACTAATGGACATTGACAATTCATCTCTTTCTGCATAGTTTATATAGACTTTTTTATAAACTTAATATTATCATATATATTAAACAGACTGAATCAGTTTAAATTAAAAGTGAGCACAAAACGTAAGCAGGGTTTTGTATTTTGTTGACTGTATTATGCTTATCTGTAAGAATTGTTACAATTTCCTTTTTTTTTCTCCATTTTTTCTCGTCTTCACTTCAAATTCAATTTTAATTTAATTCAGATGAGCGACTTTCGAATTTTAGCATTGAGGTAATAAGGCCATGCAGCAGAAACAACAGCGATTGGTTTGAGGACAGTGTAATCGAAGTCTGTTATTTTCAGGAAGCACCAACTACAATTCTAAATGCTTCGTGCCGTAAAAGGATATTTGGACAGTATGTTCGCATACGACTTAGTAATCCAAATTATTTAGCACTGTGTGAAGTTGAAGTACATGGAACATTCATTGGTTTTCTACAGACAGGTTAGTCTTCATAAACATTATTCTTCATTCAGTCATTTTGAATAATGTTCCAATGCAATAGCTTATATTGTTTAAACAATTTTATTTTACATTGAATCTTTGCGAGTTTTGAGATCCATTCAGCTGCATCCTATTGATAGCTGTAATGAACATGTTTTATAACTTGTTGAAGGTTAACGATATGTAAATTGCCATGGTAGGGTTTGTGTGTAAATTTAAGTGATTGAACCCTCGACATTCGATAACTGCATATGATATATGATAAAAAAATGACATTTTTTGTAATATTTACTATAGTACAGACACCGAAAGTATGAAAAACTAAGATAAGCACTTCTATTACCTTGAATCATTCCCATCTTCACCCATACCCGATTTATTTTGATATTGTTATACGATAATCAGTAGGTAGTTATATAAAATTGAGAACGGAAATGGGAAAAATGGCAAAGAGACAGCAACCCGACAAAAGAGCAGATAACAGCCAAAGGCCACCAATGGGTCTTCAACGCAGTGAGAAAATCCCGCACCCGGAGGTTGGCCTCAGCTGGCCCCTAAATAAACATGTGTACTAGTTCAGTGAAAATGGACGTCATACTAAACTCCAAAACATATAAATGAACTAATATTAAAAAAACATACAAGACTAGGCCAGAGGCTCCTAGCTTGGTACAGGCGCAAAAATGCGGCGGGGTTAAACATGTTTTGTGAGATCTCAACCCTCCCCCTTTACCTCTAGCCAATGTAGAATAAAGAAACACACAGCAATACGCACAGTAAAACTCAGTTTAATAAAAGTCCGAGTCCGATGTTAGAATAGGTAACAAAAGAAACTAAGCAAAATGACAATGATACATAATTAAACAAATGACTACTCTAAGTTACTGACATGCCATATTATATTGAATGTTTGCAATATTTAAAGCTTCCATTTTTGAATTAAGTGTTACAGAAAATAAGGTTTGACCTACTTCACTAGTCACATTCAAGCTTTAATCAATCTGATAGACAAGACAGGACATCGAAAAATTATAACGGAAGCAGGATGAATATATAGAAAAAAGTATTAACAAATATACTGCACTCCAAGGTAAATTAAAAAAGGAGGAAGTTCATAAAACCTGAAAAAATAAAACGTTAAGAGTTTATCAAACAACACATCTGTCTTATTCCTGACTTGGTATAGGTACTAGTATTTCCCCGATGAACATAGTGAGAAAAACCTGGTTGCATAGCTATCTATAGCTCCCACTTGTATGACAGTTGTTAATAGTTCAGTCATATCAACAAAATTGGCTGAGCAACCCAAACAAATATAATTTGTTACTGCTACAGAAATTGTGATTCTGCAGCCAAAACTTTACAGACATACAAAACAACTATAGATAATTTTAAAATCTATTGGATTCAAATATGTGTTGCTTGGGAAGTGGGAAAGTTTTCCCGTTACGATAACATAGCAGTTTATAATAGGTGTATCGCCATATTCATTTATTTCAATTTGTCTTTCGTTTAACGATTCCTTAGAAATAAAAAAAAATGAAAAATCAAACAAAACAATGGTTATTTTTGAAATCGCAAATCCAGTTTTCGGGCCCTTTATAGCTTACTGTTCGGTGTGAGCAAAGGCTCCGTGTTGAAGACCGTACTGTGACCTATTATGGTTTACTTTTATAAATTTTTACTTTGATGGAGAGTTGTCTCATTGGCACTCATACCACATCTTCTTATATCTATTGAAAGATACTTTTAGTGTAAAATTGGCCGAAAAGCAAATTTATTACTAGTTTTCTGTACTCCTTTTATAATTTAAACATTTAAGCGACGATTTTCTTTAAAGGATATATACTTACCCCTATCTTCAGTATGTCATGCAAGTGATGTTGTAAGCAGTTTGCTCATTTATAAAAGTAATGGATATCACCCTAATAGTCTTCATTTGAACTATTAAGGTATTGATGTACTATAAGAAAATCAGAAAATAATAAGGTTTTATACCGGGGAAATTTGTTGACATAATTCTGGACAGGAATTCGTTTTAAAGAATATACACAAAATCATCATTCAAAAAAACAATAAGCACAGGTTGGCAAATGTTTGAATCGACATAACCCATACCTTCTGGTAAAATAAGGAGATGTGATATGATTGCCAATGAGACATCTATCCGCCAAAGTTCAAATGAAGTAAATGTAAGAAACTATAGGTAACTGCTCGTCCTCCAACAATGAGCACAACCCGTACCAGGAATGTCCAAAGGTCAACAACCTGATAGCGGGATACATAAATACTGAGTCACGTCAAAAGTCATATGACAATAAAAACATAATAGCACGAATACAAATAAAGGGAAAACAGTAATAGCACGAAGATATAAAGAAGAGAGAACTACTGACCTTCGGCAAGACACTTGGAAATAATTGTCAAATAGGATTAGAATCGAAAACACCTCGTGGCGTACAAAGTTTGAACTCACAACCTCAGAGTGAACGGGATAGTTTAACTACTTAAACCACCGGTCACCGATGTCCCTTATAACACATGTAACATTCATAAATTAATAGGGAATATATTGTTATAATGGTACGACAATTACACATTGAAATAGTGAGTATGTACTATCGTCCATTTATAAATTTTGAAATTATATAGAAACTAAGGTTTCAACTCCCTGATGCAAAGTTGACCTTAAATGGATTTGACTATTCATTACAGGTCGTTTTTGGTTATATAGCTTTTTAACTGTTACGGTTCTTATACATCCATGGCTTTCAAATATTTAGATTTGAGAGTTTCTGATAAAGGGTAAATCTAGAAAAGCGCTTCAGACACATGAAGTTTATTACGAGTTTTTTTCATTTTCTTTTAAAAACAATATGTCATAAATGTTTAGCATAAGTAATTAATGTACATGTATTGTTACCCAATAGTTACCTTTCCTTATGCCTGTGGATTTCAAGGTCACAGTTATGATGGACATAATAAGACCCTTGGTAGTGCCATTGTCTACAGCGACATTCATTGTACCTACATATGTTCTTACACGAAAGAATGTCATGTTGCAGACTTCAACAAGAAGACCTCGTGTTGTACCTTGATGAAAGAGAAAACTGGATCCAATGTTGTGGCTAAATCTGACCACAACGTTTTTCTAGTCCATTAAACATTTGTCTTTGACGAAGTTGATATTAGTACTGTTTTTTTGCAATTCTGAAAACCCAAAATTTCAAAACAATAAGTAGACCTAAAACTGTAAATGCAAGAAGTTTAAAACCCTACTGCAAATATATCATACAGAGTACAAATAAATACTGATATTTAACAAATTAACGTCTAATTAAATCAACTGGACGTTATTTAGTTTTTTAAAACTTTTTGATTGAATTAAAGACTTGAAAAAATGTCCATGTTTACAGTTTTAAACTACTGATAGTTAGATTTTGAAATGTTAGTTGTAGATTTTATTAAGTTAAATTAATTAACGCTTATAAAGCCAGCTCTTTGTTGCTTATTATTTATTGGTATTTAATCAATTGTATTTTACGATTCTTTGCGATGACAAAATAAATACAAATTAACCTAAAAGCTTTTCGTTATTTATTGTTGCAATATACCTTGAACTAGCCACGTATTTCTTCTTATCAAATACGGTTTTATTATTTATTATAGAATTAGGATGATGTTATGTAATATGAAAAATAGATGTGATAAAATGTAGTTTTACAAATCGAAAATCGTAATTTATTCGGTACTTCTTTACTGTTTAAGGAATTTACCCTGTAATTCAGTTTGATTCATTTAATAAAGAATTATTTGGTTGATAAGACACGGACATCAATATATTTAAGGTCTTTAATATACAGTGTTGTAATAATTGGAATAGGGTACAGTTCTGCACTTAATAAATGTATCAAATAATACCACTGTTTTGTCTTATCAAAAAGTTGTCAAATAAATTGAACTGTCTTATCATAAAAGTTGTCAAATAAATTAAACTAACATAATTCATCTTGGTTTGGCAGCAAGTTTGTATTGATATATATTTATGACAAAACAGTTAATGAGATGGAAAATACCAAGATCTTAGATTTTCCTATTCTTGAGTTTACTTTTATATAGATATACAAAAACGTAAACATCATTTCTACAGTATCAAGATATGGAGTGACAAACACCGGTTGATACGAAATTTCAAAACGTTTCCTCTCACGATGGTTTGCTCTTAAATTAAAATATCGAGGTTTCTATTTTTGTTCACCTTACGGAAAGTGGAATGTATAATTTTTTAAAATACGAAACTAACTGTTAACATAAAACAAATTAATTCTCGTATTTTTATTAATTTAATTGATTGACCATTTTCAGAACCTATCTTCTGACAAATAAAAATTATGGCAACAGTAGATTACAGATATAAAAAAATTGTCAATCAATAAAGAAGACAAAAATGAATGTCCTAAACAAAAAATGAGGAATCGCAAGGAGCGAGACCATGTGCGTCGACCAGGTAAGCGTCTTTTGCAATGCATGTATCATTATCCATGTCCCAATCGGGAATATGTCATAATTGATTAAATTAAAGATCCGACGAAGACGAATATTCTGGTATCTTAAGACTGTTAAAATATCTAAGACATGGCTCTAGTGGGTTGAGACTCCAACACTTATGAGATTTTTTCCGAGCGGTGTAAATTCATCATTATTTGCGATTGTATGATTTTGTGTGATGCTGATTTTATTGCAGTGTATATGATGTTTGCTCCTTCATTAACGTTTATCAATGAAAAAATATAGGCATATATGTCTATTTTTCAATGATATGTGATAATAGTAAGATGTCAATGACAAGTTCGAATTCGGGTTTGACGGCGGATATCTTTTTCAATGTCTTTCAATTAGATGGGTTCAGATTTTGACTTTAACAATTTAGATTATAATTCATTGTAAATACCTTTTTTCTTGACAGTTATAATCTTGTAACTAATTACATGTGTTTATAAGCATTGTGTTTATCAATAATAATTATACATACTAAATTAAATTCTTCATGGTAGACATTCATATAATTTGTTCCACTATTACTCTTAATCTCCAATTTATTTTAACTTTATTTAACTTTAGGTCGACGAAACGAAGATTATGTCCCGTTTCTTCTTGGTACTCTAAAATTTAATCTACATATTTATGTAGCAATTGCTTTCAAGTACTAAATACTAACATAAACATGATACAGTTCTTAAAAATAGAAAATGGTTTATCACCTTGTGGAAAGATTAATAACACTTTGTTCCCTGAAATTTTACCATATTCTTTGAAAATGTCTAAGCTTCGAAATGAGCCACCGTTTAAGATATGTACAGAGGAAGAGAAGAAAAGGCTACCATTGTCGCGTACCGGAAATTAATTGCAAATATTGACCAATAGAAGAAAATGGAATTTCGGTGTAAACTTTATTAAAACATTAGAACAAAATAAAAATTAATTCCATGTTATTACTACAATTTTTGGCCAACTATTGTACACAGAAAAATAACTGAATTGATAATAATCCATTATTTCCTAACATGTTGAACATGAGATGAAACTCATATTCGGACTAATACATCTTGAGTATAGTACTATTAGACGAGGATTTCGATAACATTTCACGCATCAGCGGCATTCGAATCATAACCGTTGAACAATCAAATCGATCACGATGATGAACAGCATTCAGAAAAGGATAATTCTGAAATGATCTGTCTCTTTTAACTTTTTTTTTGCAAACAAGCAAGTCATAAAATTAGTATTTGATATACGTAAATAAATAAAGGTAACAGTAGTATAATATATATAAATATGTATACGTGATCTAAGCTTTATTATTATTACACTTGCATGTATGAAGAACACGTCACAAACAGGGTTTCGTATGAAATAAAAATTAAAAAATAAAATCCGGGTTACAAACTAAAACTGAGGGAAACACATCAAGTATAAGAGGAGAAAAACGACACAACAGAAACACAACACTAAAATGCAACACATACAAAAACGAATTATAATATAACAATGGCCATTTTCCTGACTTGGTACAGGACATTTTAAGAAAATGGTGGGTTGAACCTGGTTTTGTGGCTAGCCAAACCACCCGCATTTATGGCAATGATAAATATAACATTAAAATGACAAGATTACATGACAGGACTACAATACAACATGTACAAATAAATGGGAGAAAACACAGGACAGAGACACACACAAACAATAGCTATCAAAAGGTACCAGGCTTATAATTTAATACGCCAGACGCGCGTTTCGTCTACATAAGACCCATCTGTGATGCTCAGATAAAAAAAGTTCGAAAGCCAAAACAAGTGCAAAGTTGAAGAGCATTGAGACCAAAAGTTCCAAAAAGTTGTGCCAAATACGGCTAAGTAATATGCCTGGGATAAGAAAATCCTTAGTATTTAGAATAATTCATACTCTTGCAAACAGTAAATTTATAAAAAATTACTATATAATAGATATACATGTTAACACCGAAGTGGTGACTAACTACAGAATAACAACGAATACGTAAAACAACCTAAATCTGCACATAAAAAAGGCACAGCCGAACAAGGTATTATATGTTAGCCGAAGAGATCGACGCACAATGTGACGTCACATATAAATTTCTATAAATTTCCAAAAAATAAGATAGAGTTCAAGATTAGGTTTGTTATACTGATATAACATGTTTTAATAACAATGAAAATTACAATACTTTTTAATATATCTGTGGTAATAATTAGATAATTAATTGTATTATCAAGCTATGTCGGTATTTCTTCTAAATCAAACTGTAAACCAAATACATTGATAAATTTAGTTGACCCAAACTAAAATCTTATAAATGAACTGGGTGATTTAATATCTATACCGTTACACACGAATAGAAGAGAAAAAAAAAATAAGATTTACAACTACAAACGATAAGACATTTGACAAATCCGATGAGAATAACAAATATAACATCAAAACTAAATACATGGATTTTGGATAGAAAAATACCGTGACACGTCTTATAGCAATGCGAATTCACACTCAGCAAAACAGTCACAATCGGGAATAAGTCACGTTCGGTACATAAAAGATCAGACGACGTAATGGCAAACCACAACCTAACACGTGGTAAAAATGTCCTTTTTTAGTTTGGACAAAAACACATCGTATGAATCAACCAATTCGCGATGGTGTCCATAAAATTTATGGAGTGTCATTTTTAATCTGTCCTCCTCATAACTTTGATGGAGCAGTTTCTGCGTTAGGAGCACACTCCTGTATATGAAGTCCGTATAGTGTGAACATGCACGAGCATAACGTATTAACTGAGATATGTAAACACCATACGAAGGGGCAGCGGGTATGTTACTGCTGAGAAATGGGAAATTGATAAAAAAATTTTATCATAGATTTTCGTGTGAGGTCGTCCATCTGTGTCAATATTGAGGAAAAGATCAAGGTATGAAACAGTTCTTCTAGTATCAGTAGTATCCTTAATTTCAAGTTCACTGGGATATATGAGATGTAAGTATTGGCTGAAATGTGGGTTATTCAATGATAGGACATCATCAATATATCTGAAAGTAAAATTAAAGAATTTCGCAAGGTGCTTTTCCTTTTTGTCTTTTAGAAGGTTCTGAATGAATTCTGCTGCTTACGAGTACAAAAACAAATCGGCCAGTAGGGGTGCACAATTAGTACCCATTGAAATACCGACTGTCTGTTGAAATATCAATCCTCCAAACTCAACAAATGTATTGTCGATCAAAAAGTCCAGCATTTTGATAATATCATCTTCAGTATATTTTCTGGTAAATTCAGTTTGGTTCTTCACAAAATATGAATTATTGTAACCCAAAACAAAAAATTTGTATCTACGATTCCCATTTTTATAGAAAAAGCTCTGTTTAATGAGATGGTGAAGTCGATCTTTCAACTGAGCATGAGGAATAGTAGTGTAAAGCGTAGAAAAATCAAAGTCTTTATGTTGCTGCAAAATTGCAAAGATTGTGATCGAAGATTAAGCAGTAGATCTTTCGAATTTTTGAGAATCCACATCTGGTTAAAACCACTGGTAGAATATATCTCATCACAATATTTTTGAAGCCCATCTTTAACTGTAGAAAGAATAGTAGTCAGTACTTTAGAAAGATGTTTAGTCGACCATTGTGATTACCCAGCTATGTATCGTTCTTTATATGGAGTTTTGTGAAGTTTTGGTATCCAGTATAATGACGGTAAATTTTCTTCGTTTTCTTTGATGTTAATACCAAAAGAAAGAAAGACAGATTTGTGATTTTGTAAAATTTCATCCTTGGTAAATGATGTTAAAGAATATGTAGGATTACCAGTTGTTCTATTTATTCCGAGCTCTGTTGTGAGACATTGCAAATAATGGTTTTTACATATGAAGACAATATTATTGGAGGCTTTATCTGCTGGAACAACGACATATTTGTCATGCAAAGAGGATAAAGCATCCACAACCTCCGGATTCTTAAAAGGGTTAGTACCTCTTGTGCTCATAGCACATCGTAGTTACTGAATGCACTTCTAAATGCATGATCGAATAGCTTTGATCCATTCAGACAAA